GCTCAGGGTCTCAAACACGCCGCGATGGGGTGGATTATCCTCCGGCGTACAAACTCCGAGGGACCGAGGTAACAGGTTTGGTCCGTAGAAGAAAAAGGCGGGAGGAACCTGGCTGGGAACCCAGAAACCTCGAGCAGCGCTGGGGCTTCCCGGGAGGCAGCCAGACCCTGGCGAGGGAAATGGGGCCGCCTGCCCAGCCATGAGTTGCTGTATTCACTCTCTTCCCTCCTCCCCTCCCAACCACGCTGTTAAAGGAATTCCCAGCCGGGTGTCCTTAACCCCCACATGGGGTGTCATCCACGGAGTAAACGTGGAAGAAAATGCACGGCTGGAACAAACTCTGGATTCAAAGCAGAGAAGCCAGGAGAGCATTGTCTAAGGAACTGAACATGTGGACAGTTGTCCTTCTTCGAGCAACTGAAGTTTTACCAAGTTCAAATTGGAAAAATAAAAATTGTCACAGACTGATAAGAAGTCATCTCTCCTTGTAAAGAAAAGTCTAAACCTAAGACCTGTATTCAGATCTTCTTGTAAGAGAAGATACTGCCAAAATATTTTTAAATTATCTCAAAAACCTTTCTGCTGATACTTCCAGAGGATGAACTTCCTTTGCTTTACAGTGAACTCCCACCCTCCTCCCTGTTCCTCCTGCCACGCAGGGTGCAGAACTGCCGCAGCACCCCAACACCATCCTGCTCCCCAGATTGTGTCACTGCTGTTGCCCCAGCAGACACTGCTGTCCTTGCTTGCAGCACACACTGAGGTACCACCGTACGGCTGCACCAAGCTCCAGCTAGAAACCTGCCCAGTTGTCTCCTTCAGCTCACGTTCTTTTGTCACTCACATTTTGCCTAACAAAGCAATCACTCCTGCAGCCCAGCTTATCGCTTCTGTCCTTTATGAAACAATTATTCATATCCTATACTTCAAAAGACTAATTTATATTAAGTTCTCCCACTTCCAGATACATTACTCTTTATTACTCTATTGGAAGTAAACTCATACCTACTTACTAGTTGTTAACACCTTGCAGGTTTATGTTTTTTTTTTCCTTTTTAAGCAGAAAATAATACAGAAATTTGTACAGCTACTTTTGAAAGAACGTTACATTTACATTTTCCTCGCTACATCTTCAATTCTGAGTGATGTCAGGAAGATACTCCTAGATACAAGCAGGATCAACTTCCCATTCCACAGGTACCTAACAAATTAAAGGTGGGGAAAAAAGTGACAGGGTGCAAAGTACGTATTAATGGAGAGGTTTTACTATGCTGGAGTTCCTGCTACTTTATTCTTGACTGGAAGTAGCAGTGATGTGCACATGGGAAGGAGCCCACTGTCCATCAGTGTCTTGTCCAGTGCCCATTTACTCTCCATCACAAGGGCACCGTGGGCGTTCACACATGCATAAGGAGTCAGTACTCTCTAGTACACCTCATAATTAAAAATCAGTTCTAACCAAGTATTTTAAATCTTTTCCAGGTAACCACATCTCTTGCCTAAGCCCCATTTCTTTCTGAAGCAATTTCACAGACATCCGATCCCAAGCATTCTTGAATAATTTATGGACTAGAGGGTAACAAATCTTTTTCAGGAGCATCTGGAACCTCCTACTAATAAATAATTAACTGCTCGCTAACGGTACTAAGAATAAAAAGAGCATTAAATTTCACAGCACAGGAATTTTTTAGTTTTTCTTTGAGCCTCCCCCCATATTTCAGGAATGCTAAGATTTGATATAGCAAGGGTTACAATATTAAGAAATTCCAACTAGTAACATGACCAATAAAATTTATTAAACATTATATTTACAACTATTCACATATCCTTCCATAGATTAATATTAAAATAGACAATATACAATTTAAGAATTTTAATTCAAAGGCATTTTGTTGGAAAAAATAGGCTCTATTACGAGACCACCATATAAGAGCAAAAGGGTTTTTTTGTTTTGCTTTACACAAAAATATTTTCAGTATAGTAAGTCATAGGTATGGCATTACAACAGCAGACTAATATGAAATATGATTTTGTAAATATTACAATTGTTTAGGTATCAGTTGTTGAAGTAAAGGAGTTACGAGTTCTGTGAAGCATGCAATACAGTTCAGTTTCAATTCTTTTACAGTCATGGTGATGAAACAAGCAGCTAAATCAAACACATGCCATAGAAAAAAGAACTGCCAACCAGGAACACACTACACTTAGTAAAAACTACAACTTTGGTCCAATAAAACATTAGACAAAAACCAGTTTTACAGTTAAAATATTTATTTTATACAGGTTTGAACATTAATTACAAGACTATTTACATTTACACAATATGTATAAAATAAATTATTTAAAAATGAAGACAATATTACATCTTTTTCCAAAAAGAAAACTGTACAGTAGTTTACAAAATATAATAAGATTAATAGACTATTTTCCTCCAAGTCTTACATTTTCTTCCACAGGCTTTTTAATCTCTTTTTCTGTGGGAGTTCAACTGTTACTGAAGTTTTGTAATACAAAGCTTTAGAGCGGATTTTAAGTATCACTTGTTTTTTGGTGGCTGTTTTAGTTACCAACAGCTTCCAGCGCTGTTAACTCACCGTGTTTTGTCATCTTTTTCAGCAATACGCTCTAAAGCTATAGGCAATTTTACAATACAGATAATGACATTTACTGGGGAACCGACTTTAGGATCAGTGTTTATCTTCGGTGTTTGAACAAGAGCCCGTGCCGCACTTCTCTGAAGGAACACCTGAATTATTGAGAAAGGTGGGATTCCCCAGAATGAAGTGCTCTGTCTTAAAAGAAAAATAACTCTGTGTAACCCTGCACCTCAGTCTCTAGTTGTCCAAGGAAAAGGGTGAGCCAGAAGGTGCTAGTTGTCATATTGGCGTCAATTCAAAGTCGTCATTAACATCAACAAGTGGAACATAAAACTCCTGAATTTCATAAATGCTGATGGATTTGTACGTAGCAGGATCAAGTTCCTGTAGTTTAAGCTGCCACTCCAGTCTCTGTACAGCATTTAAAGCTGCTGCTTCATGCTGCTGCCTCATCAAAAGACACGTCTATGTTAAAATTGAAAGAGAAGTTATTTCAAAATTTGAAAAAATATCACAACAAGTTTGAAAACAGGAAAAATATCAGGGACCTCTCTGGTGGTAGTAATTTCCCCACTATGTGTTTAGAAATTTGCAGATTATTCCATTAAACTGTATAGCAACAAGGGTTAGTTTTTTTATATTGCTAGACCCTCCTTTGTGTTCCCTTTAAAACTTAATAGCCTATGATACTGCACACAAATCTGTTTATTAATCTATTTATTAATCTCATCTTTGTAGTGACATTAGAAGTGGTTTTTTTGAAGTGGAAAGACAAAAAAGTGTACCTTTAATTTGTCAAACTTATCATCGACGTCCTGTAACCACGACATAAACTGTCTTGCATTAAATCGATCTCTCACTGATGTTTTGCTGTCATCAGCCTGAAAAAAAAAATAAAATAGTGAAACCATAACTTATTTGATGGTTCAGTCTTAAACACACTTTAAAACATGAACCTGACTTTGTGGGACCTTCCTAAACAATGCTTCAGGTGGAAAAATAAACTCTTGAGTCGAAGTATCAGCGTATATACGAGCGTATCTATTGACCACCACTTTTGCTATGAGCCAGCTCATGACTAAAAATGGGCACTTTCAGATTCCCTCGAGCTATTTACTGTATTCTATTTCTGAAATTTCAAGTAGGAGGCTTAAAGATTTATGCCTTAAAATCTTAATCAGTATAAAGCAGATCCTTCTACAAAATTGCGGTATCTTCGTTCCCTTTGAAATTCAGTAACAAATTAGTATTTCCTCAGGAAAAGCAAAACATTAATAAAGGAAAACTTAAACAGCCTGACTTAACTGGCTACTCAAGTATTCAAAAGCAGTAATTAAAAAAAAAATATTTTTACTATCAAAATACCCAAAAGGAGACTGAAAAAAAAAAAGTGAGCAGATATGCCTTAATGTCCCACTCAATTAAATATTTTTTTTAAAAAAAAAACAACCCTATTTAATTGGAAACTGGAATCTCACATCTGCCCACCATGAGAAACTAGGTACTCTATTATAGACAGTCCTAAAGCCAGACTATTCCAATGTAACATTTACATAACAATCAGTAAATAGAACAAGCTGCTGTTACTTTTTTAGGGAAAAAAAAAACCAAACTGTAAGAATTTGTGCATGGTAGCAATGGGCAAGAACAGGGAAAAAACCTGCTAAGACTGAAATCTCTAGCAAACAGCTGAGATTTCAGATATCAAAGACAGCTGACCAGGCTGGTTCTAGAAAAAGCCCTCAACAACCCTGATTTTGTAACCTTGATCTGCAGGTGTTCATGTGAGCTGTGAGCAGCTCAGTCTGTTCACCACAAACCTGGGCCTTGTTCCTCCCCCACTTTGGTTTGGCCCATGTGACTCCAAAGAAAGGTCCTCAAGGTCTGCCCACCATGTGCAGCCATAAAGGCAAGCCTCCAAAGACCCAGACATCCCATGAAAACAGTTCTGAGGTGGTCATTTTTCTGACAAATAAACCACATCTTTGCTTATAAATCTTTCCCAGCTATTTGCTCAAATCGAAGACAAAAAATCATCAGAAATGTCTCTTCACTATAGGGCAGAATTAAGATTTGCTGGCAGGTAACAGGAAAGTGGCAGAATGCGTTACAAGAGGCTGGTTTCTTTTGCATCGCCATTCTTCCCATGAAGCAAATTTAAATCAAAGCGTCAAGTTGCTAGCCAAAACACTGATTTCAATGATAATAAAAATATATTTAATACTTTGCTGAACATCATCTGCAGTATTGTCATTTTCTAAGAAAAATTACCACAGACTGAAACACAAAGCTGCTGAGGTAGTGACGGTGAAGGAGAGGCATTTTACTACTACTACTGTTACTACAGAGATGGTTAAAAAAGCTGGGGAAAAAAAACCCCACAACCACTTCTCCCCCAGTAAAGATTCCTTTTGTTTCACAGAATTCAAATACAGAATCAGCTTATTTAAAAACAGTATTTGGACTGCTAACAGAAGAGAAAAATCTCATTTTTGTTCTAGCAGTTAGATTTACTAAGGAAATTATTTAAAAATGTATTGGTATAAAGCTCGAAATGAGAGAACAATACAGTCCCTGTAAAACTGCTGTCTCCTGATGAAAAAAATCGTTGTGCGTTGCTGAATCACCTCGTTGTGCATAGCTCTAGTTCTTTAAAGATGAGGAAGAAAAAATGTAGTAACAGGGTGAGGAAACACTGGAAGCTGTAATAATTCTATACAGGGCTCCAGGACTAAAGCAGAACTCCATATACGTTGGAAACGTAGGTGTTTCATTTTAAAATGCCCAGCATCCAATGCATCAACACTGCTATTACATCTATAACATCAAACTTCTTCCTTGTGTTATGTGCACCTCACAGTCACTGAAACAGGTTCTGAATGCAGTTTCCATGTTTGTTAGTTAGCAGAGATGTTCACAAAATACTGATACTGTGATATCATATTGTCTTAAGAGTTATGGCTGCAGCAAACTTCTGAGCAGTAGTCCATAAAAGGTATGGAGATTGAAAAGTATACTGCTTATTTTCTATTTTAATCAGGATCTAAATACCAACATTGAATGTGTAAATACCATGATGCATGAAAATAATACAGAGCTTGAGGTGACTTTGAAAAAAAAAATAAATAGTTTTATCTGGTAACACGTTCAACATTTCACTGTTGGTCATCTGGTCTGTATAGAACAGTTCTGATGACTGAAGCATTATATGGGTATCGCCACAAAAGAATTCCAAATTTCATGAACCAACCTCACCACTTCATGCACTACTGCATTCTGATTCTCTGGACTAGTGATGGAAGTGATCTTGTATATTCTGAAAATTTCTTTGTTGTTTAAGCTGTATTTGTAAGCTTCCAAAATACGTTGTTTATGAATAAAATGTTATTTCATAAAAACCATCAGAGTAGAGTAAAGGTCTCATTTTATCCTTTTTATCATTTCTGGAGGTGAAAGAAAACCAGACACGGTACAAAAGAGAAAAACAACTTACATAACCCATATCCTCTGGTTATTGTACATCCACATGAGGCCTAATCAAAGTAACCATCTATAATGTGCAAAATCTTAATTCCACTCAAATCAGCAACAATTTCAGTATGGGAATAGAATTCTCTTCAAACACTCCTTTTGAGTTAAGCTAGAAAGACTTTTTAGTCTGAAATTCTGAAACAGATCTCTCTACCTGAGCATCCAGAGGCACATTGTAAACCTCAGCATCCAGCAGAACGGTGCAGGCACTGAATGGTAGTGTTTGATTAGCCAGCGTCCTTGCTGCTCGATAATGAACACGTAGAACTTCTTGTTCATTAGAAACAATAAGCTTTTCCTAATTGAATAAGAGAACATATAAATATCCATATGGTAAGTCAAGCATTTCAGTTTGATTCATAAAAATTTCCATACATTTAAACATTTCTTTTTAGGGCTTACACTTCTGAACAGTCTGAGAGATGGGCTGGTGGAGCAGTTGTTATCTCATCAAATCCAAAATTTCAATGTAATGATTCAAAAATTCAAAAAATTTCAATTTAATGATTTAGTGTTCCCTGAATGTCAGAACTGAAAACACCTTCTCCCTCATCACCACTGCTGGCTGAATGTCACGCCTAGATTTTCCACTTCGTGCTACTGAGGCAAGTTCTAGTTAATAAGGTGAAAGATGCAAGGCATGAGGAGCACAGGGTTGGGATATAGGTTTTGAGTCTTGGCTGTGTGATGATTTTTGTCATGTGCTTGCCATGCCAGGCACAATAGCCAAGCAAACTGAAGCAGAAATAGAATTAGCAGGATAATTTAAATAATTATTAATTTTTAAAAAACTGTAATTTCTTTTTTTTTTTTAACAACATGCAGAAACTCCATAAATCCATAGCTGGACAAAGATTCTTTCTTCAACTGAGACAAGAAAATACAGCTCACTTGGCCAAACTTGACTTATAGTTGTACAAAGTGGATTTCATTTATTTGAAGAATATTTAAGAAAAGCAACTAAAAATATACAGAATTTTAAAGGGCATAAAATAATGTGTGTATGTGTTTACTGCTTTGCAACATAATGACTAATTTTTAGTCAAAAGAAAAGAAGGCGGGTTATAAAAAGATCGGAAAACAGAAAAAGCAGCATCTTTCCCTCGGTTACAACTACTTTCTTTTCAGTGAGATCCTGAACCATGTTTATATTCTTTGTGCTTGTTATTTTATACCTAGCTTTACACTGAAATATGGAATTCAAGTAAAAACCCTCCCCTCAGCTGGTTTGTTAAGCCACATTGAAATCAACTTCATCAAAAAACAACCACATTGGGTTTTAACGAGCCAGCTGCTTGTATAACAGTGCAGAAACCCTTCAGATACATCCTATGTGAGAAAGGGGTCCTGCTTGTGTCCACAAGCACTGGCTCACAATACTGACAAGACATGTAAATCTAGGCTGCCAAGGATAAAGGTTTGGGCAACCTAAAAATAAAGAATACTCTTACACCAGGACTATTTTCTCAATTGCTTTGTTCAAATTCAGTGAAGCCTACAGATGTAGCTCTAACATCATTTCATGCAGTTTTTTGCAAACAGAATATTGCAAATAATGTTTTAGTCTTAGAGCCACATGTGTCTTCAGCCAATACAGAATTTACTCTTACTTCAATTCTTTTAACTCGGTCAATTCAGTTCTGAAGTCTACAACCACTGTTAGCTTTCAAAACCAGAGTCTGCAGCTTTCTTCCCACCACCCCTGGGGAAAAATCTGGGCCACATCTTAAAGCATTTAACAGGAAAAAGCTGCTGCCTTACTGACTTAAGTGTTCTGCTTACAGTTGTCCAAACTATTTACAAGATTCCCCAATTCATAAATCTGGATAGAAGGCAGACTGCTTACAGAGCATTGTTAACTTGAGCAAAATACAGTCTATCCACTGAAACATATAAAAACCCTAAAGCTGGAAAATAAAAATTACTTTAGTCTTACCCTTTCAATACTGTGCTGTAAACGTAGTTTCATCCTTACAACCTCCTGTTGTTTAAACAGTTCCTTAAGTGGGTCCGACAGTGAGGGAGGTGGTGTAATCTGTGGAAAAAAACATACAGTGAATATGTATTAACATATGTTTAACATTGCCTGTATGATTTCAGCATTTATTTAAAAAACCACCCCACTAAAAAACCTCCGAAAAGAAACCAAACCAAACAAAAAAAAACACAAAAGCAAGGTGTTTTTTAGAGTAAATATGAGAGTTTTGTACTGTCTATTAATTCTGTGACTTCAATCCATTTGCAATAAAGATTTTAAGGATCCTTCACATAAAGTTAATAAACCCAACTGAAATGGCATTTCAAACTCTTTTGTGCTTTTAAGCAGTCACTGTCAGCATGCCGTAGTGGTTTTTAAAAGGACTATACATTAGCAGATAGTAAATATACAACTTGCTTTTTATTTTGAAGATTTTTTTAAAAGCATAACTTTTCATTTCAGAAAGTTAAAAACTGCCTAGCCAAATATAAGAGCAAAGTAAGAAAAAGAAAAATATTGCTAAAAAAAATAAGTCATTTGACATATCTGTATGGTATCACTGGCATTTTATATGGCAGAAAAGATAACTGACAGTATTCCTTATGCAATCATGCAGAACACAGACAAGCACAAAAAGTACACTAAAGCCACAGGCAGTGGCTTAAAAAAGTGTTTCCTCCTGTCAGCTATTCAAATAAGTTTTTTAAAAAGCTTACACCAAAACAAAAGAAACCCAAACAAACACAAAAATAAAATCAAATAGACTTGAATGAGATACCAACACTTAAGAAATCAGATGTTTCCTGAGAACTAACTAATAAACATCTTAGAGTTTGAAGGCTCCACCCAAAGTTTCCTTTTCTCTATGCAAGCTCTGTCTGACAGTTCAGCACGGTTTTTAACAACTGCTAGATGTAAGAGCACTGATATTGCTTTGGAAAGACTCATCAAAACTAAATGAAATACTGCTTACTACCACTGAAGCCATAGCTAAAACACATGCCTACAGGTTTTGTACTCTACCTTGTACCTTACACAAACACATAGACATATGTAATTCTATTCAGTAATATGGATCCTGCAACTGTCAAGAAATAGCAAATACATATATGGACACATTGTGTTTCTACTATCAGCCTTGCGCCTATACACTCCAGTAACAAAGTGATTTATCTACCAAAAATTATCCCATTATTGTTTGCTTGGAAGATTATTTCAGGACAATTTTTTTTGCTCAACAAGAAGTTAGCCAATGTCTTTGGAGTTAAAGAACATACTCAGTAACTGATGGCGGTGCATTCCTTAAGTTGTTATTTGGTAAAAAAATGACATTCAACTCCTTCAAACTACTAAACAAGATACACTTCACCTCTCTCAATGAAAAGTTTGGCTCCCAAATCAGTGAGTAACTTTCATGGCATATACTGGTTTGTGTAAGTCACCAGTATTGAAAACAAACAAACACAGCAAAACCCCACCAAAACACAAACACCTGCTGGAATAATCTGTTTCAATCATAAGGGATTTCAGGGTGTTTAAATTCAGCCTGCGATACACTGCAGTCTGGTTTTGCCTGGAAACTCTGCATTCAAGGCACAGTACAACAGTGCTGTCATAGTCTTTCAATAAAATAAAATACTTGTTGTAAAACCAAACTTTTACTTAATTAATTTTACTAACCCCCAAAAGACTTCTCCAAAATCTCAGTGCGTTTGTTAATAGAGAAGCGCAGAGCATAAGAAGCAAGATAAATAATCTGCCTATAAACATTATTTGAGTTTATGCAGCTAAGTTATCCAGACATAAAAATTTCAGAGCTGGAGTGCATCCAAATCACCTGAACAATTTCAAATGTCATTATAAAATGTTACTCCCTTAAATTTATAGACCGTTTAATTTTGCAACAGAAATAAGAATCAAGCCTGTAGGATATAACCAGAAGGATTTAATTACCTAGGCAGCAAACGTGTGGACGTTCATTTGGACGTATATGAGAACCCTGCCTCTGTGAAGCTGCTATTACGCCGCAGCAGATCATTTTCAGCCGCCAGCACGGCTGTGTTTGACGAGAGCTGCTGCCGATCGCCTCTCACGCCGATTTCCTCACCCCCGGGCAGCACCGCCGCGACAGGCGCCTCCCCAGCGGCAGGCGGCGCCC